GAGAGAGAGGGAGAGAGAGAGAGGGAGGGGGAGAAAAAGATAGAGGGAGAAAGATAGAGAGAGAAAGGGAGAGAGGTACATAGGTAACCATACATACTGTACATTATGTACAAATGTGTAATATTTATTGTGCATAAAAAGAAATGGTACAAAATAATTAGACTGCATGGATTACTTCTTCATTGTCAAAATCAGACCATAGATCAGTGATACCTATAGAGAAAGAAAGAGAGGATGAGAGGGAGAGAGAAAGAAAAAGAGAGAAAAAGAGGGAGGGAGAGAGAGAGAGAGAGAGAGAGAGAGAGAGAGAAAGAGAAAGAGTGGGAGAGAGGAAGAGAGAGAGAGAGATTACAGCTAGACAATCAGCCAATTACATAATGAATGAATGAATGAAGCAACTAATTGCCCTTCAGGCACAATTCTGAGTACCACTAGTGTGAACAATGCAAGACTTCCTGAACTGTTAAACAAGTGAAATAGATGGATAGGAACACAGCCCACACTCACTGTACCGCACCCAAAGTGGGTATTCTTGGATATACCAGCAATGACATATGTACATGCATATGTACATGTACATGTGAAACATGCAAGTATTAAGAATGTACATGTAGAAGAGATGGAATAGAAAAATAAGGAAACGCATGTATATGTTCATTCAAATACAGATAGTACATGTACATGTACTGTATAAATATATTACATGTACATGTATATGCATGTACAGTACATGTACATGTACATTTTACATACAATGTTACATACATTGTTACATACAATGTATATTACATGTACTGTACATGTGCATGTATATGTACTGTATAAATATATTACATGTACATGTACATATACATGTACATGTACATGCATGTACATGTAGATTTGGAGACAAAAGGGTTCTTTGTAACATATGAAGTGAGATATTGCTACAATATCTTACTCCCTATCTAAAACATTATAGAGTAAATGACTGAATATTAGACAAGAACTTGGCATGGGTCATCCCTCTTATGTACACACAAAGGAGAGTAATGTGTGCATTAATCACTCATTTACTGGATTAGGACAACTAGCTGACAAGTGAGATCAAATATTAATAATAATAATAATAATAATAATAATAGTACATGGATGTACATGTGTATGCAGTGAAAATTCTATCAATTAATGGGTATATAGATATAATGCATGTACATGTAAGTGATCAAACTGTACTTATAAGCTCCAATGAAGCAGGTATACATGTACATGTACAATGTATAGCATAAATTAGTCTACAAAATTAATACACATACATGTACATGTACATGTACGTGTACATTGTACATGTACCTTAAAGCTGGTAATTTTGGAGGGGTAAGATTTTGGTGAATTGCTAAATTCTTGATAATTGGAGGGTTTTAATTTGACAATTTTGTGGCCATGCACCATTGAGCAACCATGTACTGTACATTAATTTTGGGGAATGACTAACAAAAAGCCCTACACAATTACCAGCTCCATACAATACTTTTACAGGGTCCCAAGGACATGCATAAATGATTGGAGATTCTGTATTCAATATTATACCATATATGTACTAGCTGTACCTGTTTCTACTTGTTTTATTGTTAATTTGAGATCAGAGAGAAGTGTCTCTATTCTACTCTTGTGTTCCTCGTCCATTGAAGAGAGAGCATCAGTGAACTGCTTTAATGTGGCCTCATGTCTATACAGAGATATGAAGAGGTGGTGGGAAGGAAGGAAGGAATTAAGGAAGAATACAAAAAACAACACATTAACTGTAAAGCTGTAACATTTACAGTCAATAGAAAATGTTACAGCATTAATTACATCAATGATCATCTATTACTGTATCAACCAGTGTATATTAGTGTGATATAATAGCACCAAATGAGTTAACTGTTATATATTAATGACAGCTAAACAAGCCTATGTATGTGTAGATGTACATGTACAAATGTACATGTACATGTAGTTTCAATGGGTTCTTCTTTACCTGGCTTTCTTTCTTTCTCTTATTCGATCTTCCACAGTGTTAACGTGTACTGAAATATCACTACTACTGCTACTAGCAACACTATAATCATCTAAAAATAAAGAAAATATTTAATAAACAAATTATGATGATGATAATATTGGGTTTCTGAGTAAACTTCACAGGCAATGGAGCAAGACTAAAGGTATGCTAATAGTAATATTTATAATGATGATGATTTAAAAGAGAGAATTATAATATATTAGTTACACATGTAGTTTGTAGTTATATGTACCTGGACTGTTGTTGGAGGGGGAAGGGGAATTGGCTGTGAGCTCGTGTACTTCTCTGACTGACTGTAATTTTAATATAGTTTCAGGAGTGTCCTCTAGTAGCAATTGACTATATCTTTAGAGAGAGAGGGAGGGAGAAAGAGAGGGAGAGAGAGAGGGAGGGAGAGAGAGAGGGAGAGAGAGAGAGGGAGGGAGGGAGAGAGAGAGGGAAAAGAGAATGATAATATCTGTACTATCATAAAACAAAATTAATAATAAAATATTCCAACAGTTTACTTGATACAAGTAAAAGTTAACTGTAACATTGAAATATCCAGCAGCAAACTAAACCAATATCTTATTTTAATACATGCACATGTATGGGTGCATATTACATGTACACGATACATGTACATGTACACGATACATGTACATGTACACATGCATAGTGTACAAATACTAACTGGCTCAACTATATGGACATGTACCACAAATAAGATGACAGCCAGACATTATAATAGACAATCTGGGCATTCAATCAATCAACATGTACATGTACATGTATTTTATATAGAGTGATTACTCTCTCTCCTTCTTCCCTCTTTCTCTCTCCCCGGCTCTCTCTACCTCTCTCTTGATGGGTTTCCAGTAATCCTATCGAAAGGCTCTGAATTGAGCCAGTCCTTTTCTCCTCCCTCATCTCCTCTGGTCTCCTTTGAAAAGAGGTTAGTCACTAGTGGTATGCTCTGCCTGCTCTCCACAATGCCAATGGAGGACTACACATATTGTACAAGAATACAGTAAGTGGTAGGATTTCAAAACAAGCATTTACTCTTCTGACTGATATGTCACCCAGTCTGCTTTCTTCTGAGTGAGTTAAACTAGAGCTAGTCATCTTTTACGCGGAGAAAATGGCTTATAGATTCACAAAATCTCTATTTTAGCCGCCATTTTGAGTCAAAGACTGTTGCCATGGAGACGGTATTAATTATTGATCATTAATTATTCATAGACAATGCTATCACTATCGAAAATTAATTTTTTTACAGAAAAAAGTTTTTATAATTAAAAAAGTGAAATGACTGTGCCGTTGTACTTGTGTGCGTGACAGAGAAAAAAGAAAATAGATTGATTATGTAAAATAACAACAACAACAACAATAATAATAAATTAATAATAATAGAATAATTATGATATGGTCAATGGAGAAGAACCATTAATGGATTTCAGTTGCAGATGCTGTGTGTACATATTTGCTGCTGCAGTCTCCCTCTCTCTGCTCCACATCTCATCAGTGCACTCTCTCTTCCATTTCGTCCTTCTATTCTGATACCACGTCTTGATATGCTTCTCTGTGAGCCCTAAAGATTGGGCCATTCTGCATCTATCAAGCTTTGTGAGGTATTTTTGTTGATTGAACCGGGTCTCAAGCTGCTGGAGCTGGGAGCTGGTGAACGTGGTCCTTTTCTTCTTTTTGTACTTCTTTCCGATTTTACCCGGTTCACCATCGTCCGCTCCACCATGCTCTGATGAAGAGGGGCCGGGAGATGAAGAATCACTATCGTCATCACCGCCAGTATAGTCTTCAAGATCATCAGGCACTGCCACTATAGGGGTACCAACTACAAAGAGAGAGACAGAGAGGAGATATCAATAACAACTATATATACAGTGAATTGAATGCAATTTAGCTTCATGCAGTCAACACTCCAAAATTCAGTGCACCAAAGTTGGTCAAAAACATAAGTACATGCATTTTTTTCTCTACCTTTTGGAAGCTCTAGTATCCTCTTAGTGGTACTGCAAGTAATATGCTGTGGTTTATGCAGCTGAGCTGGATGCAGTGACCATCCAGTAGCTGATGGTGGTGCAAGTTTAGCGGGTAAGCCAGGAGCCCCTCCGGGTTGTCCGAGGCTCCAGGAGGTAAAACTAGGCTGGCCCCAGTTCGTAGCAGCACAGAGAGCCCCTGGACTCCCGCTGTGAGCGAAAGGGAGTGTGACAGGGAACGGGAAAGTCGTGTTGAGTGTCATGATGTTGTGACGAGGCGGTGTACCCGTCCTCGCTGCTGCTAGAAAGATTGGATGAGCTGGAGTGGCTGCTTTTGTTGCTCCTCCGACGATTGGAGAGGAGAAGGGAGATGATGGCGGGCTACTAGAAGTAGAAGACCCACCAGAAGAAGACTGGTCAGACATTTTCTTTGCTGCTTGCTCTGCAGGTGAAGGCTGCAAGAGGCGATCAACAGAGAAAGAAAGACTCCTGGTAGTTTTAACCTCCATCACAATCAGGTCCAATTGCAAGCTAAAGAGAATCTCTAAGCAAGAAAAGTGTCTAGAAATAATGGAATTCTATTCCTTTTCAGCTCTTTTTATGCACGCAAAATTAATAACTACACATTAACTACATCAATTAATAATTAATAATAACGAGAATGATCAGTGACAATAATTATTATAATAAATTATATAATAATACTGTAATAAATAATTATTTGACCGTGCTGACTTTAAGAAGTACTTTAAATTTCTCATACACGACATAGCCAATAGAAACTGCTGGTATTACTTTAAGAAAGTTTGGCAATATGCCTCTATAAAGGCCCCTTACTCCTTCATTCGCTGTTATTGTATAAACTGTATCTATCATACCCTTTGTTTCTTTGCCTTGAGGTGAAGAGGCTAAGAAAAAAGAGGAGGAGAAGGAGAGAGAAAGAGAGACAGAGCAAGGAAGGGAGAGAGGACAGAGAGAGAGAGGGAGAGAGAGAGTGAGTGAGAGAGAGAATACAAAAGAAAAACAGTTTAATAGGCTTTCTTTCATCATATGTCAAACATTTAACCTCTATCATCTACTCCTTAGCCAGATAATTGGAATAATGAACTTGAGTCCATAGTACAAATAGTTATTAATAAACACAACATGCATAAATAATATACATGTATGTACAGTACTTAATAATGTGTGCATGGACATACATGCATGTATGTGACATACAGTTATTTCATTTTAATTGAGGTTCATATAAAGGTATGATGGTATGTCAACAACATGGTCTGGTGAGGTGAGAGGGAGGGAGAGAGAGGAGGAGAAACATGCCATGCTTATATAATCAAGAATGGTGCAAGGAACAGTTAAGAGTTACTAACAATAGATGCATTAATAAACACTCTCATTCAAAACCACCAGTGACCAGCCAGCTGGTCACACCATTACAGACTAATGAGGATAGAAGCACACACACAAAACAATGAATGAATAATACCAATTAAAGAGATTATAGTGCAATGATAGACCATAAAGTGATAAACCATAGAATAAGTTCAGTAAAGTGCATACCGTATAATGCTTTATTTTGGCGGCGCTTTATTTTGGCAATTTTGCTGTAAAATTGTAATTGGCGGTTTTAAATTTGGCAATTTTTGTGTACACGTGCATTACTGAGCATGTGTATTAATGATTGGCGGTTTTAATATTGGCGATCCTGCTTGCAAACCGCCAATCGCCAAAATAAAACTCCGCCAAATTAAAGCATTATACGGTATTTAAAAGAGGACAATGATTGTAAGATGGGGAACAAGAGTAGAGAGAGGGGGACATGGTTGTTGACAATGGCGACTTCCTCTGAGAAATATGTCACATGGTTGCAAAGGATCGAAAATAAGGTATAAAATAATTATCTACTATCGATAGCCTAATCTTGATTTAAAGTGGGTGTAGTCACATTGAAATAAAATGGCACCTGTCAGCAAGTCTGTGCATGCTCATTGAAGCAAACGGTCAGCAAAATAAGACCAAACTTCTTTTCAATGACTTCTCTAGCAGCAAGAAAGGTCATACAGCACAATAATAGCGTGGCTGGGGGGGGGGCTGAACCCCTTTAAATGTTTTATATTCTTCTAGTAACTATTTCTAATGCAAATTAATAATGAATTATTGTTGCACATACATGCAGTCTAGCTACAATGTACATGTAGTACATGTACTGTGAGTGCCAGTGCATGTACATGTTAAGAGACGGCAAGATACATGTACTGTATATGTACACGTTTACTGAATATCATGGAAATTGTTAAAGCTTTAAATAATATACTCACTCCCAATGCTGTCAAGTACAATGTACAGTATAATCTAGTCTAAGTATAATAAATAATAGTGTACATTGTAAGTACAGTCTAATATACAGTATAATAATAATAATAATAATAATAATATATTTTATTTATAGATGTACTGTACATGTACATCTGAAAGAGGACAATAGTTGTGAGATGGGGAACAAGAGAGGATAGAGGGGAGACATGGTTGTTGACAATGATGAGCTTCCTTTGAGAAATATGTAACAAGGAATTGATTGAGAAGGATCGAGAGTAAAGGCAAGTTTACAATATGACGTTAGGCCAACGTTTGTCAATTTAAATCAAGTGATTCCAAGTTTCCAACGTCAACCTAACGTCAGGACTAGCGTAATATTGTAAATCAACCTTAAGAGGTAGGATCTACGATGTAAGTGAACAAGTAAAAGAGGCCATGTGAAAACTACATACATGTACATTGTATATAGTATATTAATACAAATTAAGAATCAATTACTGCAATTGCATGGGTACTTGTAGATTACAAATAGTCTAGCTATAGTACATGTACTGTAAGTGTATACATACAATGTACATGTACATGTACTGTACATGTTAAGAGATGGTAGGAGGAGATACAGTACATGTTTAATGAATAACATGGAAACTGTCAAAGCTTTAAATAATAACTATATAGTCTCTCCCACTGTTGTCAAGTATTGTTGGAATATAAACTTACTAAGATCTTATCAGCCTTGTACCCCACTCCCTCCATGTTACATGTCTCCTTGCTAACCTGTGCTCTCTCCTCTTCCTTTTCAACTTCCCTCCCTCCCTCTCTCTCTCTCTCCCTCTCTCCTTCCCCCCTACATGTACATGTATCTCTCCCCCTCCCCTCCCTCCCTCTCCCTCTCTCTCTCTCTCTCCCTCTCTCTCTCTCTCTCTCCCTCCCTCTCCCCCCCTCTACCTCCCCCCCTCTCTCTCCCTCACTCTCTCCCCCTCTCTCTCTTCCTCACTCTCTCCCCCTCTCTCTCTCCCTTACTTTGTGCTTGTAGTCTAGTCCTAACAAGAGAGAGTGGATAGCTGACTAGTTGTCCACAGGTACTGGATACTGTACCACAGGCTAATGGTATCAATACTCCAGGCTCGCTCTCATCATGTCTCTTCAACCAAAGGTTCTTTAGAGTCTAATAAATAAATAAATAAATAAAATAAAATAAAATAAATAACAACAAAGAGGTTTTTACACCTTTAGATTTACTATCATGTACACATGTACATACATGTATCTTTATAACTCCATTTATACATTAATAATTTATACATTTACACATGTACAATGTAACCCCAAACTACATGTACATGTACAATGTACATGTACATGTAATTTGCTGCTTTTATTATTACAAAAATGTGTCAAAAATGCATGGGCTACATGTACACTGTACATTGTGCATGTCAAATTAGGCCACACCCCTCACCTCATAAACAGCTAGGTCTATCCCAGCATACGGTATTATCCCTAACAGACTCGGAGTGAGACCGCGATAGAATGAACGATAGCCTTCAGTGACTCGAATCTTATTAAAACAATTAATGATACCAGAGTATTGGCCAGTAGTACCCAGGGCTAACCTCGTCTTTAGAACCTAAAATACATACATTAAATATACATGTACATGTACATGTATATATGTACATGTACATGTACATGTATACATGTAAATGAATTAGGACTACAGTATATTAACTATAATTATTTTAATCAAAATGCTGGTGTGCATTAAATGGAATGATGGTGTGCATTAAATGGAATAATGGTGTGCATTAAATAGAATAATGGTGTGCATTAATTAGGCTATCGTACCTCCATGGGATAAATGGTAGTCTGTGCAATGACTCCAGCTGTAGAACCAGCCAACAGTCGCTCGTAAACTTTAAGAGGTTGGTCATCTTGCTTTAATAATGCTTTAATCTAGAAGAGTAGAAAAGAGAAAAATTACTTGTTAATTATACATGTACAATGTAAATGTAATATTCACATTAAGTTATTTGTTATTTATATTATTGACATTATTTTTTGTATGACAGTTTATTTTCCCAACCTTCTCAAAAGCGAAGAACCTCAGTGCCGATTCTGGTGCTATTTTGATAACGTTGGTTCCGTTTCCTCTCCAGAGAGACCTCACCCCTCCTTCACTCACCATCCCTCCCAGGCAGCTTCTGATGGTATAAGACTTCCCTGTCATAGACTGAACTTGAAAGAAAACCTTCAGGCGATCCAACGGAGCAGTAACAGTACGAGACACTAAAATAAAATTAATCAAAATTAATTAGTAAAAGCTTTCAACTTGTACATGTACATGTACATGTATAGTAAGTTGAAGAAGCTTTTAAAATTATTATTTTGTACACAATATGATTCTCTCTCTCCCCTCTCTCTCTCTCACCTGCTCCAGCTCCTCCTCCTGCTATTATCTGCTTCCACCATATTCCTGAGTCCTTCTCTTCTGTTGATAGCTCATCAGGAATCGCTGGAGTGTCCACATACTCACCAATATTACCAAACTAGAGAAAGGGGGGGGGAAGAGAGAGGGGGAGAGAAAGAAGGGGAAGGAACAGGGGGGAGAGAGAGAGAGAGGAGAGAAAGAGAGAAGGAACAAGGAGAGACAAGGAAAGGATCATTACAATTATAGCCATCACTTCATTTCATAAAACAAAACAGCTACATAACTCCATGATAAAGTACAACAACAATACAGTATGCCACAGATGCATGTATGTACATGTACACATACAATGATACAATGTACAAGTATACACATACAAACATTGACACAGGTGTAGTTTGAATTCCTACAGCATGTCCATAGCCATTATTATCGGTACAGATCAATAACATCAATACTTACAGACAGGACATACAATGCCCTCTACTTTAAAACATTTTCTGTTGGAATGCAGTGATAATAGGTTACAAGCAGTGAAAAACAAAACAAAATTAATATTTCAAAGTTATCTCTCTCTCTGTGATATACAGTATGCTTACCGTAGCATGTCTCCAAACTTTTGATATTTCTTTCCAATTTGTGTTTGGATGCAAGAGAAGGAAGTCTCTCCATTCCTCCCAAGTGATTTTCACATCGCCATCTTTATCCATCCTTAATAGAGAGAATAAAGAGTTGAAGTTAAATAGTCAAAGTCACTGTACAATTACCAGGTTGAGGATATACATGTGTATTTTGAATAGTAAAAGTAATGGTTTTGAGTTACATTGTACATGTACATGTACATGTAATTCTGATTGCTTTTTGAATAAAAGACACTGATATAAAGAGATTGTAACTACATGTACATGTACATGTACATCAAGTCTTATTGAAGCTTAGAAGTTACTGGTTTAGTGGATGATGACTAAAGAGTTACTCTATAGCAGTGAGATAATACTGAATACTTGAGAACAGTAGATAAAAGGCCTTTTCACACTCGTCCACTTTGGATCCAGAATTACAACCTGCCAAAATAGAATCCTCTTTGGTTGTGTTCACACTAAGCTACATGTACTTTGAAGAATTATAAGTGAATTAAACTGCATTGGCTTCTACAGGTTATGAATATTTAATTAAGATCAATCCACTTCAATCCACCTCTGGATGTGGATTGACTGGATCTAGCTTCAATCCTGATTCAAGACAAGTGTGAACAAGCTAATCCTGCTTTGATTTTGTCTTAATTCTGGATCCAAAGTGGACAAGTGTAGAAAGGCCTAAAGTGAAGCTTAAAACACACACACACTACTAGATGCAGAGGTGCCATTATAATGTACTGTATGCTATGGTATCTTTTAAAATTCAAAAGTTACACATCAAACTGACCTCAAAATATGTACACTAGGCAGACAAAGGGAAAGGGCCGGGCTAAAAAAAACCACTAACTAATGAGCCCATTGTCATAATAACTGGTGTATAGCACACCACAGAGACAACTGTACATGTACATGTACATGTACATAATTGTAGATATGGCACAATCTACATGTACAAATGTAAACTATAGATGTTTTTTGCTGGTTTTTTACATGATACTAACTAACAACAAAACATACTAACAGCATAATACATGTCAGATAAAAACACAAAAATATGTAGTAATAAGTACATGTACATGCACAACAAATAAAAATACATAATACATGTATACATGTACATGTATATATACAAGAGGGGAGAAAGATAGAGAGAAAGAATCAGTTAAAGAGACACATGCCCTCCAGCAAGAGCAAGATCAAGAGAGTTAAATGAGTGTATGGGCTTGTAATATGATGACCTAGCACCACTCAGGCACATAATAGAGGACTGTACATGTACATGTACATGTACAAAAACTACATGTACATGTACATGTACAAAAAATGCAGGCAGATTCATGTACATGTACATGTACATCTAAATAAACATTTTATATGTCCATTGTACATGTATGTTAAAGCTGCTCTGATGGTGTGATGTTATAGCCACAGGTTACAGTTCCTTAAAATAAGGACAGCCTCTAATTAGCCCCCAGGGCCCGGCCCACCATTCAATGAAGACCACAGTACAGGTGTCAAGTGTTTAGACTCAGTTCTTAGTAGAGCCAATTCGAATGAACTTCATTATAAGAGTGACACCTTTACCAAGAACCAGTCTCACTGTCTGGGTGTGAAGTACAGTAGGTGAGTCGCCATGGCAGTTTCCTTGTAATCGAATATCAATAAAAATATTGTTTCATTACATATCGTAGCTATGCTGGTTTAATTGCTATTCAATAAAAATAATTATTTTTTCATCTTCTGCAAATACATTGTATAGCATAAGTCTCACAAAAAATAATTGTCATCTTTGGCCAAATTTTGTCAAAATGAAAAGGAGAGAATTCTCCATTTTTATATTTTTTCCTGATACATGTACATGTCGTTTAAACTTTGTGCCAATTTTATGAATTTTAATGTTGTTCTAAAATCAGGTAAAAGTCCCTGTGCTATAGTTGAAAAGGAGAGAATTCTCCATTTTAACATTTTTTCCTGATACATGTTTTTATGTTGCGTATTAAGCTTGAGCCGATTCCAATCAAATTTGGATTTTTTATGAATTTTCAAAGTCAGTCAAAAATTGGGTAAAGTCCCTGTACTTATAGTACAGGGATGTTGGCCAAAATTCACGAAAATTGAAAAGGAGTGAATTCTCCATTTTTATATTTTTTCCTAATACATATACATGTTTTTATGTTGCGTATTAAGTTTGAGCTGATTCCAATCAAATTTGGATTTTTTAAATGAATTTTCAAAGTTAGTCAAAAATCGGGTCAAAGTACCTGTACTGTAGTACATGGTCTCAGGCCAAATTTCGCCAAAAAAAGAAAGGAGAGAATTTTGCATTTTTATAATATTTCTGATACACATACATGTACATGTTCTTACGTTGTGTGAACTGATCAAATTAAAATTAGATTTTTATGAAATTTAAAATTCATGTGCATTGTAGTACATGTACATGTAGCTCACTTAGCATGTTTTATGGGAAACCCTGAGTGCATATACATTGTACATGTACATGCACATGAACATGTACACATACATGTACATATTGTACATGTACATGTATGTATACAGGGTACTTACTTTCTAAGGAGCTTTTTAGCGTCCTCATCAGATATCCGGATATTAATTTCGCTTAGTTTCACTTTTATCTCGTCTGAATCTATAGCACCTGTGGAAGAATAAAATAATATAAAATTACAGGATAATTGATTAATAAAATTAATATTGGCCGCATACATGTATATGCGTACATTTGTAGTTCTAATATCTATCTACTCGCTCCGACCAATTTATTATGAGATATTTCATAAGGTTAATTTCCAGTCTGCCACTACGAGTTTACATACATACATACAGAAATAACTAAAAATAGAAATAACTGCATACTACAGTACAAGGTGAAAGTATAACAGTTCACTCTTCCAAGCTTTATTTATCTCCTGTTGTCAATTGTCATCGTATTATCTTCAGCTGGTAAGGTATTTTCAAATGTACAAGGTACAAATATGTAGAAGCTAGTTCTATACATGTAGACACCTCAGTTTATTAAGCCTCAATCTACAGTAGATTGCATCATTCAAGTCTTATGTATACAAATAAAACAACAACCAAGATTCAGCTCAGATACAATGTACATGTAGTACAAGAGGCTACAAGACTACTACAACTGTATAGCTAGAAATTTCTGTAGCCCAAATATTTTGCAAATTGGCATCAAGATAACTTTTGCAGATTTCACTTTTGTGAATTCACCATCCCTTTTAATTTAAATTTGCCAATAAACTGTGTACTAAAATTTTGAGGATTAGATTCCTGAGATTTTTCCAAATCTGCAAAATTAGCAGAAATTTTGGGCCACAGAAATTTCTAGGCATACGGTATAAGATATTACCATCTTTATTGGCATCCACGTAATGAAACACAGTCCACAGTTTTTTCTCTTGATCAGTGCAGTATTGCAAGAATTCTGATTCATCAAGACGGCCATCGTTATTCCTATCACCAATCTGAACCACAGTCTGAGAGAAAGAGGTACACGTAAATACATGTACAAAATAGATCATACAAGCGTACATGTACAGTGTACATCTTGTGAACTAGTAAAATACATTCTACATTGTACGATCAAATACTGTACATGTACGTGTACATTTGCAAATGTACATGTACATGTACAATGCTTTTCTCCATTCAAATAAGCTCAAAATTTTCAACATAGCATAAGGACAATAATTATGCATCAGAAAATCTAATAAAAATCAGGGTCAATTTTTGGGAAAAAAAAACCCATAGATTATTGGGCCTACATGTACAGTACTGTATTTCTTAAAACAGTCGTAACTTGAAAAATTAAAGTTGGAATCAGCTCAAACTTTCTACACAGTATAAGGACATCAACACGTATCAGAAAATGTAATAAAAATTGGGGGTGATTTCGGAGTCATTTTTTTGAAAAAACCATGGGCTTTTTTTCAAAAATTTGCTATTTCGCAGAACTTGTCGGAATAAGCTCAAACTTTCTACATAGCATAAGGACATCAAAATGCATCAGAAAATGCAGTTAAAAGGGTGATTCCTCGGCCAATTCTTGCAAATTACCCACGTGTGCTCAAGTTGGATCACAAATTTCTCGTTACTCACAAAAACAATTAACGCAAGTAGATACTAATTAATTACTAATCGATGGGTGTGGCTAATAACAGCGCATGTATAAGCATGCAAAGTTAAAAATGCTAGATAGTGCTTTACATACTTCAGCAACACTTGGGTCCATTCCTTGCTGCCTTAATCTCTTTCTTATTTCTTGTACGTCGATCCTACCATCATCGTTTACATCCAGTTGCCTAAACAAGGCGATTATCCTCTCCTTGTCCGTGAGGGGGACCTGAGGGAGGCCCGGTTTCTCTTCCCCTTTCTCTGTCATGACATCCGTGCTACTACAAGCTCGGCAAGCATCTTTTCCTCGATAAAGAATGTTGTGACGAAAGGGTTAAAGTTAAGTCCGTTTAATACGGAGTGAGCCGGAGGATTAGTTTCCTGAAAAAGTCCTAACGTGTGCGGATCATTATAATTGATGTACATTCACAAAATCACAATACAATAAAATGAAAATGATACGTTTTAATTAATCATTGGTAATAAAGCTCAAGGTTCATTCCATCATGAATTTCATCTAAAATAAAAAATTTTTAAATATAATAACGTAATTAATTTTTAAAATAATAAAATCTTACAATCCTCCAATGTAATGTGATCCTTAAAAACTGTATACCTATAAAATGAATATCAAAAAACAACGACAATAGATAATAAATTAGGTTATTTCTAATTTACATAGGACTATAAAATACAAGCAAAATGGATGATGTTGGATATTTACAATATGCTACTGAATCTAGCATGCTTTATTGTCTAACTTATGGTACATAAAATACTTCAAAATAAACTTTAAATATTCGTAAAAAATCAAATTTTGATCGGAATCAATTCAAACTTTCTACGCAAAATGAGTACATGCATACGTATCAAAAAACAAAAATACATGTAACTCCACTTATAGTAAGATAGATCAGTAGTTGGAGAGTTGTAAAATTTCCGGATATTGCCAATTGCCAAATACTAATGGCTGGTAAGATATACCAAAATTTAACCGACTACCCTACCGATTTAATTTCGGTTTCTCGCCGCCAAAATAAGTCACTATACGAGATACTCACCATTTTTTAAGTACAATCTTATCCCATCTGGTACCAGTCTGAGCTGCTATCAGCTTCTTCAGGTCTCCAATGGTATCATCAGGACTAGTAGAGTTTTTATTATGTCAAAGAATAATTCACAAATAATTTTGAACAACTAGTCTATCACATAAAAATTTTAACAGACCATAACACACAAATCCATACTGCACCAAGGATACTTGCACTTTACTCGGACTTTCTTTCCCAATCTGTCGTTACAAGTAATCTCTATCATCTTTGTGATTCACCCAATTTCACCGTTTCTAATAGGCGTGGTCCCGGCAAGCCACTCCCTAAACTAACCCACGTGTCTGCACGTGAAGAGGGCAGTTAAGCCCCGCCCTTCAACACACCCACGTGCTACCACGTGTACAAAATGGAGGCTAGACTAGAGCAATATTCTTCTCTTTTCTCTTCAATGATAGACCTCATACCTCCAAATTATTACTTATGCAAAGAGGAGGAGTTCATTCAGTCGAACAAATACTTTCACAAGACGAAAAAGAGGAAAGAAATCAGCAAAGAATCTTTAATAAAAGCAAAGAAGTCGAGATTGGACCCATCGGAGAGAAAGACGGTGGAAGAAATCAAGAGAGAGATGGAAGAAGAAAAGATGGAGACAGAAAAAGACGAAGGAGAATCAAACGAAGTCTCAGAGTCTTCGCTGAAACTCAACTTGGAGAGTATTGAGAGCGTCCCATTATCGGAGCTGAGGGAGAGGCTGAGTCTTAAAATTAAAGATTGCCAGTTCAAGAGAAAAATGAAAGAGCCGGCGACAAAAACGAAGAAGGGAAAGGGGAAGGAAAGCGATAAAAAGGTTAAAAAGAAAAAGAAAGATAAGGAGGGCAAGGTTGAGGATCGTAAGAGTATATCACAGACTTTAAAACCGCCTAAAACTGAAACTGAGTCTGGTCAAGTATTATTTAATAAATTCGAATTTCGTAATCTAGAAAGCTCAAACGAGCCGAGACAGAAAAAGAAACGAAAGAAGGAAAGCACTGAGCAATTGCTCGTTAAAGCGAAGGAGAGAGAAAGGAAACTCTGTGATCTAACTGAGACAGACCCAGAGAAAGGGAAAGAGTTAAAGGAAAAGATAAAATGGCGACAAGCAATGATGAAAGCTCAGGGAGTCAAGGAGAAAACTGACTCACAGCTCTTGGAGAAGACACTGAAAAAGGAAAAGAAGTTAAAGGAAAAGAGTCAAAAGAAATGGAAAGAGAGACTCGAGAGTCAGAAAGAGGTTAAGGAGAAGAAGCAAGCTAAAAGACAGAAGCACATTAAAGAAAGGATCGACGCCAAAAAAGCTAAAAATAGCAAGAAAAAGAGGCCCAAAGGAATGAAGAAAGTTGTCTTACGCTCGTGAGTATAGCAACTTTTCGTAAAAATAACAATAGTAATATTAATTTTTATAATAATGATAATGAAATTGAAACATAATCCACTAAAATGTAATAACAACATCGACAATAATGGCAATAAATAAATAAGGCAAACACAAGAACAACATGATCATATATATATACATTACGTAATAAATAAAAGTCAACAGCAGTAATGGAAGCTACAGCAGAGATGAAAGTTAAACTGTTTATGCATTAGCTTTAAAAGAAAACAATTGCAAGTACAGCCAGCAAAGCCACGCAGAGAGACACGATGCTGGGAACTGCAATAAATGATGAGCTTGGGAATGATTCTGGAGGCTTATTGGTAGCCTCAACATTGTAAGTGGCGGTATGCGTAGATACAGTGGACGAAGGCCTCACTATTGTGGATGAGTAAAGGACTTCTTGGAGAGCGTCTGAATATGCCTGGGGCTGTTCTATTTCGTAAACGTCCATGAACAAGAATTGATCAAAATTTCCGCCTTTCCCATCTCTACAGAAGTATCCTTCGAACTGAGTGTAGGCTTCCGTCCTATTAGAGCCGGAAATGCAAAATCCGAGTGTGACACTGAAGGCTTTGTAGTGGTACTGGAGGGCACCCATACCGCATTTCTCAACTGCTTTTTCGCGAGTGATGGCACTGTCAGAGAGGTCTGGGGTGAGGTTTTCCAATAGTTTCAATTCTGTCGTCACAGCTGGGACTGAGTAGCAACCCAAACTTTTTAAACCTAGAAATAGAAAAATTAGTAAGTTATTTCAATAAGTAGTGGTAGCATTTGGACTTGATCCATTAGAAAATGTAATGTATGTGTACGATTGATTGCATGTGTACATGTACATGCTCTTTGTAAAACTTCTAAAAATTCCAATTTTATTGCAAACTTGATACATAAACAAGAAAATGTATCAGAAAATGTACGGACTATGATATAGTACATGGTATTTTTTTCAAACTTTTGCATATGCTACCTACCTCTTAGTGGATTGGGACAGTCTTGCCTATTACAATCTTCGGTTTCAGTTTGACACTTGCTCGTATCAGAGTGACCGCAATTCCTTGATCTGGTTCTTTGGCCAGTTCCACAACTAGCTGAACAAGATGTCCATTCGCCCCAAGCACCGCTATTAGGATCAGCTAATGAGAGAGAGAGGGAGAGAAAGAGAGAGGAAGTCAGGTCAAGCAACATCCAAGAGTGTTTATTCTATCAGTATGTTCTACTAAGACTTCATAAGGAAACGTCAACTTTATTTAATTCAACATACACTTGGCATTATTCCCATTTACAGTAGATACATTAATTTTTAAATACATTATTACAGCCACATACACAATCATTTGCTTCTATACTTACGTTCACAAGGTGTGTCTGTGTTACATGCCCCGTACTGTACATTAACTCCTTGACAAGAGTCACCATTCAGACAGCGCCTGGTCCTTGATCTAATGCCACCACGACAGGTAGAGCTACAGGTACCCCAGCTACCCCACTCACCCCATGTAACAGCTATAGAGAGAGAGAGAGAGAGAGAGAGGTGAGTTGTAATTTGGCAAAGGCTTGAGAAATGTAGACACACACAATAGCAAATATAACAAAAGAAATAATACATTTAATATTGCTTTTTGAAGCTTTGTGGCCATTGGATGAGCCGATAACAAAGGAAGTGGCAAGTTGTGAAGTTATAACCAAACATGCAACATCACACGGTGACTACATTAATTTACACTAAAAGCAATTACTCCCTTTACGCCTAGTAAGGTAGTAAGAGTGTACGTCTACTAATAACTATTGTAATAATTGTTGATAGGGACTCAATGGCACTCTAATGATAGCATCAAAAAACTACATAAGCTGTTAAAGGGCATACACACAACTGTGAACTACAGATAATTAATCATCATCATCATCATCGTCAATCAGTATCAAATTACATTTATTATATTTTATTTTTATTTTTATTATACTTACGTCCAGGGCAGCTCTGTGTATTACAGTCCCTGTACTCAATGTTGGATCCGGAGCAACTGTTACCATTCTGACAGGTACGGGTCCTTGACTGTCTACCCCCACCACATGTGGCAGAGCAACCACTCCAGGCATTCCAATCAGACCATGTAGCAACAACTGGAGAGAAAGAGAGAGAGAGATAAAAAAGAGGTACAATAGGACATAAATTTCAACTTGAATCAATCAATGTTATTTACCTGGACAAGACTGGGTACTACAATTCCTTGTTTCAGTGCTATCTCCCTCGCAATCGTCGCCGCCATTACAGGTCCTAGTCCTTGTCTGTGTGCCAGTATTACAGGTCCTTGTGCAGGTCGACCAGCTGCCCCATGGTCCCCATGAGCCTCCAGTACCAGAACACTTGTACTGCGTGTTGACATGACGAACGTCGCTATCTGTCAACCCATTTCTCTGGCCTAGATCACTACTGGGTACATTGGGGTCCTTGGATGTGATGGTACGCTGTCCGTTTTTCGTAAAAGCATAAGAGCTGTAGTGCATGATGGATCTATAATCGTAAGGGATCCCTTGGAGCGTTATGATGAAGGAGACATCAACTTTCTCAAAGTTGCTCTCGGTCCCTGAAATTAAACAGGCAAATAATAAATCACATGCTTAATAGTGTAATGCATGATATGTTTCCTTTACTATAGGAGCGTGCTAGGAATGCATGGAGGGTTTACGTTAAGGAAGGGTGGGTCTGTTTTGTGTAGTGTGTGTAGTGTATCATGCGCTTGAGGAGTGAAGAGTAAGCATGAGACAATGGGAAGTGAAATAGTTCTGAGAATGAGGGTGAAATAATTGTGAGAATGAGGTTTGAGGTTAATAAAATATAAATCCTACAAATGCGGGTCATGAGGTTTCAACAACTCTTTCTCTCTCTCTTCCTCTCTCTCTTCCTCTTCCTCTTTCCCTTACCAGCTCTGATATTTTCCGTGTGAATGTTAACGTATTGGTCCCTGTCAGGTCTGCTTTGTTCGTGCCAGCGGCCGAGAGCATGGAACAGCTCGTGTATAATGATACCTTTGTGAGCACAGTTTTGGCCAATTGATATCTCCTGTGGCCCGTGTATACGCCCAATGTAAGACCAGCAGCTAAGAGGAAGAGAGGGAGGGGGAGTATTAGAGATGGAATACCATATGAGCATATATGAACATTGCAATTCCTTTGATGATATTAATTTGGTTAAATAGAATTACGCCATCACCAGTCATGGCAGACTGTGTAATATGATTACTCCAGGTTGCTATGGTGTGCAGTAAAATATAGCCAAAAATATCAGCTATCATAACTGGATGCATGCATACAAGCAATTAATGCAAATTAAAGTACTGATTTATGCAGTGCACAAATTCCTTACCCATCAAGTTTTTTGAATATGACATAGTCAGCTTCGTTGGTCCTTGGTATAATGCGAATGCAGGACTTGTTTCCATACTCCCAGATAGCTTCATTGATGCGATTCACAGCATTCGAGTCACCTAAGCAAAGGAGATGAGAGAAGATCATTGACAGGCTAGTGTGCATGATTGCAAATGCTTACCTGCAAGGGAGCTGTCAATTATATAAGGGACTCTGCCCTGGGGCCAGAGGTAGTATGAATGGTTGACGACTAGATTAGCCACTCCAAGGATGCGTTTATCAGAGATTGCGTCTCTGCTGTGCTCAAGGAGTACCTCTTGTCCAGGCAGGAGCTTGATGTCTCCTTCAAGAAGGCTCGAATCTATGGAAGACAATTTATAAAGTGGATCTCATGAACAGATAAGCCACTTACTGGTGTCGTTTATGTTTATCTCTAGCTCCGTCTCAGCCTTTGCCACATTGCTCAGCTGGAGCAGGATCATTGCTGCTGATAAAATAACTACTGCGCCAAAAGAAGCCTTCATTCCGCTTTCTCTTAGACTTAGTATAAATGAAAAGATATTTTCTTTATAAGTCTCTCTCTTATTGCTGCAACTTAAGCACGAGAACTGTGATGGAGCTGCAACTCTCCTCCTGTTTTATACTCTACCGGCGAGACCAACCGGAGCGATAGGAAGTCGCAGCGCCGCACCATAAAAGGCAACGGTACTTTGCTGTCTTCTTTATCACGTCATCTTTGAACTCAAGCGACAGTGTGGGCAATAAAATACACACTTAAAGTGCAATTGAGCTTGTATAGACACAATATTTTATGTACAGACAATAGAGAGAGTGGGAGAAAATATAACAACAACCAATTAGACTCCACACAAACAAAAAATGCAGAGGAAGAGAGAAATCGAGAACTATCGTAAAATTACAAACAAGAGAAAACCAATAATATTGAAGTAGCTGACTAACAAAATATCAAATATCTTCATCATCGCTATCGTCATCATCATCATCATCGTCATCATCATCACTCGCTGATAGTGGTATGTTGTTGTTCTTCAACATCTCTCTGTATTTCCTTAGTTTAGAGTCGTTGTCTGCTAAAAGGACGAGAAGGTCTTCTTGCTCTTTCTCTAATGATTCGTTCTTGCTCACCAATTCTTTTATTTTGACCTCAAGAGACCCATAATCCGTTAGCCTAGCCTCGTATTCAGCTAATCGAGTCAGGAGGTTTTTCCTCTCGTTCTCAAGTCCTAGGTTCTTCTCTGATAACTGTCGGAGTTTTTCCTGAGTTTCCCCCTCGTTGCTTGAAATGGGTGGGGCAATCGCTGAGAGGGTCAGCTGTTGGTTGAGTTGCGTATCGAGATAAGTCTTTTCAGTTAGGAGTGCTTCGTTATCAGACCTCAACTGCTCAACCTCCTGCCTTAACCTTGATACATCTTCCGAGCTAGATTGCTGACTCAACTGCAGCTGAAGTGCTTCGCATTTCTCTCTCATCCTTTCCAATTCTGCATTTTTCTGTCCTAACTCTTGTCTCAAGGACTCCTGCAGTCTCGAATGAGAGAGACTAGCCTCTCTCAGAGACACCAGTTCCTTGTTTAGTTCCCCATTCGTACCAGGAGCGCTGTTGCTAAGAAGTGATTGAGTATCATTGCCATTCCTTCCTCTCTCCAACTCCTGGCATTTGTTCCTTAGCTCTATGATCTGTCTATCTTGCTCTTGGAGTAAGTCCTTGTACTGCTGTACGACGGAGGAGTGCTCTTCAAAACTAGCACTGAGCTGTGATTGGGATATGAGATGATTCTGGCTGCTAGTGGGCACGCCCTCTGCCCCACCATTCGTCTCTATGGAAGGATCCAAAGCTCTCTGTATGGCATTGGAGACTTGTCTAAAGAGGACAGTGAAAGGATAATCAAAGAATATCTGATTCACGCTCCCCGCCTGAATCTGAGGCTGCTTACTAGCTTGAATAAAAAACTCTGTGGACGAGAGTTGAGTGAAAGACTGCGTAAAACTGTCTTGATTGATACGCCTTGTGATTATTTCTCGTAGCGTTTCAGGCGAGTACCCAGAAGAACTACCATCATTATACACTAGGCAGATACCAATAAGTGTAGCACAAAGGCCACCTATTATCTGGTCAGTGTCATTGTTATAGTGATGCTCTATCATACCAGTCAGGTAAGGGATGTTAACTGGGTTATCCAGAAATGAGGTAACAGCAGCTGTGCAGTCGGTAAGCCATGTACACAGTAAGACTAGTAGCCCAACACGACTCAGTGGTTTCAGGTCAGGCATATTGACCAGGACATCAGAGCACTGCTGCAATAGAGTGACCTGGCCTTTCCCTTGCATGGAGAGCTGGACACGAAGCAGCTGTGGCTTCTGGGATGAGTTTAAAGCAGCTGCTAGACTCATAGCTGTCATCCATATGGAAAGAGAATCATTACCAAATATCCCAGCACATAAGACCTGGCCTGCTGAGACTGTCGTTTCTGTCGAAGAAGGCAAAAGCGTATTTATTACCTTGCTCTGTCCGACTTCATTCTTATACAGATAGCTTTGGAAGCAGTAGAGTGCGGCCAGTCGTAGTGGCAATGGCTGTTTCTCGTTAACCATACACATTAATATGGTGAGTATGCCAGAGCGAGGTGGGGTAGAGGGAGTCTCAACTGTATCGAAAAACTGCTGATTAACGAAATTGCCTCTCACAACCTCAGCGACAGTATTGATACTCTCAACTAGTACTGCAGTAGGTACTCCACTGGCAAACATGAACATACACAGAAACTCAAGTAGACGACACTGGTGCATCACTTTCTGACAGGCGGAGACGTTCTGCTGAGAATTACTAGGAGCAACGAGACAACGAACGAGTAACAACATGGCGAGGACATTGGACGTTTTTTGATTACTCCATTTCAAACTCGAGGACAGTTTGAAATCGAAGAAAGGAACGAGGGATTGAACCTGGTTTGCCTCTCGATAGAAAGCTTGATTGGAAGAATTGCCACGTAAAAGATTCTGCATGACAGTGATACAATCTTCAACTATGATACTCCCATCACTGTAGCCTTCGTCACTTATTATCAACATGAGGCGTTCAAAGGCACTCTCAAAAGCTACAATCTTCTGTATTTGACTGTTAGAGCGAGTGAGATAAGACAGCAAGAGTATGGCATCGTTACGTATGACCTCCTGTTTAGCCGAAAGTAGGTCCATTATTTTAGAGATTCCCATCGGAGAAGAGAGGACGGCTTCCTGGATATCAACCATCTTTAGGCAGAGGAGGGACGTTAATAGGCGGACAGTCGGGTGACGTACTTGAAAGTCGAATTCTTCAAGTAGGCGAAGGAGGAGGACGAGGTTCTCCGGGTCTTTGAGTATTTGCTCGGCATAATCGACACCTACATGTATGAAAATATATTAGACTGTTGATATCAGAAAATGATTATCATTAATTTTGATGCATGAACAGGATTTCAATTATAACCTCATTATACAGTTAAGGGTTAAAAATTAAGTGTAAAATTAACCCTCAAAATGGCCGAATAAATTAAGTAAAATTAATTCAACAAAACCATTTCTAGCTGTTTTATTATATCGATAATATTTAAAATTATTATATACTATCAATGACATACCTAATAGAAGCTCATCTGTCCTTTCTTCTCCTTCATCCGATGATAGTACATTCAATATAGACTCCACAGCATATCCCACGCATTCCCCATCACTAATATCATTCCTAATGGCCTGGAACAGCAATGGAAGGCAAATATTACCAACCTCCCGCCTATATTGACGAGACATGCCCTTTATAGCCCTCAGGGCGTCCCTCCTGTCGTCCAAATTGACAGAACTAGATACTCTGTTGCTTAGTTTTTGAACTGTCTCTGCTCCAGAGGGTTTAGACTCTGCTCCGGCCGTAGAGGGCCCGAAAACAGACTTGAGGATGGACGCCATTTTGTTTCTTTGTCCGAACGTGGGGAATTAATTATTTTCTGCGCATGCGCGAACGAGCGACGTTGCCATGACTACAACGTTACAAAATGGCCGGCAGAAGTGCTTGTGGACCATTGTGTCAGCATCCCTCCTGCTGGCAGTCCCCGGTAATAGAGAGAGAAAGAGACCTCCCATCCGTCTACACGGATCAAAAGCCAACGGCAGAAAAGTGGCCAGAGGCCGAGGGTAATTTAAATAGCGATACTAATAATAAACAAAACATGTATATATGTAGACCTTTTCCTCTTTTAATCTTTTGACAAGCTGATGTACACGAGAAAGACACCATGTCTTGTTTTGTGGTTTGTAGTCTCACTGTACCACAAATCCCTAAATGACTCGATATAGCACCATAATTAGCAGTAGGACACAATGTGCAATTGTATTTATGATGTTGATCAAATGTCACCACTCTTTTAATTGGTTTTTAATTTGACAAAATTTAATAATAATTGTTTATTTTTAAGCACATACGTGTATAAGTACACATAATGCATGGGAGGTAATTTTTGGGTGGCTTAGATTTAGTAATTTCATTGTCATTTGGCAACCTGCCATTTGTTACATGTACATTGTACATATACAATGACATTGTAGGGACACAAATTGACCAAATTCAACTTAAAAATTAAAATTATAGTAATTCTCTCCATCGCTACAGCCCATGCATCCAATTACAGTCGTACATGTACTTTAATTTACACGCTTATTCAAAATGACTATATTAGGTCATCGATAGGAGTTGAAGTGTGTGGGTGTGTGTGTATACTTTATTAAGCGTCTAAGTCTTCTTCCTTCCTAATAAGTGAAAGGGGGACAGGAGATTACTATCGCTCTATCAGTTTTGCAAGCTCACTTGTGCCAGTAATTAATTAGTGCTTGTACAGGCTGTGGTTTCTGTTACTCTCTCCCTTTGGTGTCTGTTTTATGTCCTTTTTTGCACCTCTCAACCTCTACATGATATATTACACTTGTGTAACAATTATTGATACTGTAGCATTTCCTTCTTTATTGTGGTTTTGAGAACTTTGCTCTTTCTACCTATAGAATGACTGTGCCTTTATAATCAATGTTATACCTAAATAATTATTATCTAATGTATCAGTTAGTCTTGGAATAATCTGGACTGTTCTGTAATATGTGCTAGTCTGTTAGAATGCTCTGTTGAATGTTAGTTTTTCTTGTATGTTTAAGCATCAGTCATTGTTTTTAAGACCCCTTGGTATTTGACACATTCTTCATCTCTAGCACAATCCAAGGAAGTGGTTTACATGTATTGTCTATAGGTCAAAGACAATACAAATAAACCTAACACGATTGTACATGTGCTTCTAGTGTGCATTCATCATGTTGATTTATTTACTATTTGTTCATGTAAAGGTGCATGTACATGTAATGAATGATGTTTAGACTCTGAAGATTGCTAATTTGTAGTTCACACATGTACATCACAGTCATGTGTTGTCACTATGCATGTACATGTACATGCATTCACATAGAAAAACTTGCAGCCTAGCTTACGTCATGTACATGCAGAAGTATAGTAATATCTTGACCTCTAATATCACTTCACCTCCAACTCTACTGATTATTAATATTTTCTCTCTCTCTCTCCCTCATGTGTGCAACATGATATCATAATTGTTACACGTACGCGTACATGTACATGTACATGTACTGTAGTCTGTAGTACATGTTTAGTATAATTGTTAATAATTGTTAATAATCACCTATTCCATTTATGTATCATTGTTTGTTAACTATCAAGTGTTCGATTACCTTTCATGTATGGAACTGTATCATTGCACAGATAAGACATACAGTACCGCTCAGCTATAGCTTTACTTTTCGTACATGACACTAGTGCATCTTCTCTATACACTCAATGCACACTAGTGCAAGGTACACGCGTAGCACCTGTATCGTGTATTTACACGAGTGAAAAAGTAAAGTTATAGCTGAGCGTACTGTACATGTATCTGGATATATGTACATGCATGTACATGTAAGATGTACATTAAATTTACATGTAGATTGCACATTGTCCATATTTTATTGCAATACATGTAGTGTCGGTACTAATTTCAAATTAATTGTAAGGTAATTGCATACATTTACACTGAATTAGCTCCACTCTCTCCTCTACTGAATGTACCTGTACATGCACGATTGCACCTTACATCATATTTGACTAATTATGTACAATTTTGGCAGCAATCATTTCTCAGAAATATACATGTACATGCACGTACATGTACATGTATGTGTATTTCACATACATGTACATATACTTACAGTTGTATACATGTACATGTTCATTTTACGCTAGCTACGCTATTATACTTTAGTATGCGTTGTGTATAATCTTAGCTTGCAATCATTTTGCGTTCATGTGTGCCTTAGGTGTTAAATTTCCGTCTCTTTTACATGTACATGTGCTGTATGGTCTAGACTACATCCCCAGGATGATATAATGGTACTTAATAAAATACGCCTATTAATGATAACAAATAAAATCACTAGTAATGCTACATGAATTGCACATGTAATGTAAATGTGGGGTGATTAAAGTTAGGAAAGATGAGGTAATGTACTGAAGTGGTACATGTGCACACTTTTAGGATGTGGAGATGATAATTATGAGCATAAATTATTCACACCTTAACTCTCTTATTCTTCCTTTCTCTTTTCTTCTCTCTCTCTCCTCTCCCCCCCTTCTCTCTCTCTCTCTCTCTCCCCCTCCCCCCTCTCTCTCTCTCCCTCCCCCCCTCTCTTTCTCCCCCCCTCTCTCTCTCTCCCCCTCCCCCCCTCTCTCTCTCTCTCTCTCTCTCTCTCCCTCTCTCCCTCCCCCTCTCTCCCTCCTCTCCAGCATATGATAGTTTTCCTGTGATGACAGTATCAGATGTAACCAGTTCAGTCAGACTGTCTCCTCTACCCGAAAGACCATTACCATCTTATGGCAAGAGACAGAAGTAAATCACTAACAACACATTTTGTTGTTCTAGGAACATAATATACATACATATGGTACATGTACGTGACATTTTTTTTCTGGTCCATTTACTATTACCAAGATAGGCCATCTTACATCACATTCACCATGTACAGTATATGCTCATTCATGTACACTGCAGTACATTACATGTTCTATGCTTGCTTTCCTGATTTCATAATTAAATCGTATTTGCCTCATTTCTCATGATATTTGCTACAAGTGCATTTACATAATTGATTGTACACATGTACAACGATATTTAAGTTTTGTGTGTTACATCTACTGCACATGTGCCTATGATATGTATGTACATGTAGTATGACCAGGTGTTGATGCATTTTACTCCTCTCCATTTCCGTGTATTTGCACGCGATTCATGTACATGTATATGTATGCATGTATACTAGCTGGTATGTGTTTTAGGTGTATACACCTAGCCTTATTGTCTATGGATCACATCTACCAGTTCAGCACATGTGCATAATCCTCATGTATGCATGTACATGCCTATAAAACATACTGTACATGTACATGCATGTATGCATGTACATTGTAAACCAAATGGCAACAAGACACAAATAATTTAACTGCTAGCGCAAACAAGATCAATGCCAGGATTATTTCAGCTCGTCCGACAAAACACATCAAAGCGCTTCAAAAATTTTGCGGGAATGAGAAAAGACCTTTAAAAGTGTAATATATACTGGATACTGTAGTAAACTTGTAATGTGGGGGGGAAGAGAAAGAGTGAGAAAGAACATGAGACAATTGATCATTTATAATTGCATACACAGAGAGGCATTCGTGTGTAGTACATGTACAAGACATGCACGCTTAGAACAACCTCATGCACCAAACAGCCACGTGCCCGAAAGAGCCGCGTGCACACACACACACGCACGCATACATGCATGTACGTGTACATGTACAAAGCTCCTAATTAGTGCATGTACATGTATTGTGCGTATTACATAATAGATGTATAGTCCTTTTTGGAGGACAAGTGGGAGAAATGTTAAACTGTAAGCTAAAAGGGCTATAGCTTTACACTTAAATCACATACCAGTACATGCATGTGTACATGAATCACGTGTTGATGTATTTGCATTGTGTACATGTACAGACAAAGGGAATTAGAGAGGAGTAAATGAACATCTGGTACTCATATTGTATCAGATATATAGTGGAGGTACATGAATCACACACGAAGTTAATTTAAATACACATTGTACATGTTACAAATCAATAATATCAATAATATGCACTGTGGGAAATATATTATCATGAATAGTTATAGAATTAGGAATGCAGGCATAGAACGTACAATGTACATGTACATGTACATGTACATGTACTGTACATGTACTGTACATGCATTGTACATTGATCTCACTGCATCGTTTCACATCAGTCCACCTCTAGAGGGGAAGTGAGACTGATATATGCCATGAAACCACTCCACTGTGAAACTGATTAATGTACATCTACATCAATGCATATTACTTTTGCCAGCCTTATGTGTGAACTGATTAATGTGCATCACTTAATGCACATTACTTTTGCTAGCCTTACTGTATGTGTGGTTTGAAATTTGATATTCACACATACATGTACATGTGTATACACATTATTATTGTGTTAATAATAACAGTCATCATAGACTATAATCTTTCTTTTGCCTGTGTCAAAAGGCCTTGTGTGTGGTTTAAAATTTGATATTCACACATACATGTATATACAGTGTAGATGTACCTACATGTATATGTATGTTATTATTGTGTTAATATTTTAGTAACATTCATCAGACTCATCACAGACTATACTCTTTCTCTCCCTCCTTCTAGTGCTAATAATATATTCCATTCCTGTCAGTCATGTGTCAACAGTAGGAGAAGGCGTAGAAAGAATATCAGCTTCACTCAATTCGTCCTTCAGGAAGACACGAGTGACGACGTGACTCAAACCTCGCCTAATTTAAATGACTATAAGTTTGTACCTGTTCTTTTCTGGAAGACGCATCCTTCTTCAAATAAGCCGCGAAAGATTAAGAGCCCTGGTCTTAGGGAAGCCGAGGAAAGGAGAGAAGAAGAGGAGGAGAAACCTTTGCTAAAGAAAATGGATCTTTCTGAAAGTCTTCCTCCGACTATCAGTAATACAACTTGTACTGCTAGCTCACTTAGTCAGTCTAAACAGAGAAGAATTTTAGAGGTAAAAGAGAGAGGGGGGGAGAGGGAGGGAGGGAGGGAGAGGGAAGGAGAGAGGGAAAGGGAGAGAGGGGGAGAGCGAGAGAGCGAGAGGGAGGGAGGGAGAGCGAGAGGGAGTCAGGGAGAGGGAGTGAGGGAGGGAGGGAGAGAGCTACGTGTACGTGTGAGGGAGAGGTGAGGCGGGGGAGAGTGACAATAATAGTGAAGGCTTTGTGTGTGAATCACAAACAGTAATCAATAATCAATTAATCTTTAATGATGCATAATTATTTTTTAATTACTGATAATCTCAATACTCATCAATTCATTTGCATATGTCACTGTCTGAGCCTGTCTCCCCAAAACATGTCTACTAGCTACATGCACTGTACAAGTGTACTGCATCTACATGCATGCCTATGTCTACTGTAATGTATGCACGCTCATTTTTTATCGTGATGATCACATGTAACATAATATGTTTGTTGTGATCTAATAGTCTCCAGACACTAATTGATATGCGTCATCATGTACTGTTGATCCTTTGGACTTGTGAACTAACTGACTGTATAGCACTAGTGCCAGTTGCCAAATGTACATTATCCTGAACTAGACTAAACTGCTTTGGTGAACTCAATAAAACATGATAATTAATACACACATGCATGTACATGTACTTGTAGATAATAAGGCACCCTGGCCCATGGAGTTTGAATTTACACAAGTTACTTTTACCTGAGATTGTGGTAACTGAGCATGAATATAATGTTTACAACTAGCATGTTGCTATGAAAATGATGAACCGCATGCAAGCATAGTAAACTTGACAAGCAAAACGTGCCAACTTTTGCTGAGTAACATGTACATGTAGTACAGTAATTTGTATAATGCATTCTTCTCTTAATAGTCACATTGTGTGTCTCAATCTTGTTTTTCTTCAGCCGTATTACATGTACATGTATGTACCTTTATTTTGTACATGTGTATGTACATGTACACTACATTTTACATACAGTAGTTTCATGATATATAATTTGGAGTTGTAAAACTTTGGGTATTTGCAAGATTTTAGATAAGATTAGTAAGCTGTATTTGGCAAACTTGGTTGCCATTGAGCATGTAGTGGTTCGAAAAAGGCAATGGGTTTCATTTCGCAGGTGATTATCAAAATGCCAAATTGGCCGAAATTTCCCCTTTCCAAATTTATCAACTACATGTACATGTACATGGTATGCGGTAATTGTTTTCTTCCTGTTGTGTACATCTGCTCACTCTACAGTGTAGTATGTACATCTTCATTTGTGCAATATTTACAAGTCCCTTAATTCGACATTTCTACACATGCACATAACTTGGTATCATATATGTAGATTGTTTGTGTATACTTAAACTTCAAGTCTGTCTAATTATACCAACTATAGTCTTTATTGGCATTTTAGTAAAATTACTGATACTGCACTTGTACTTGAACCACCCACTCAATATCAAATAGCATTATACGTGTAGCTTATAGTTGTACACCTTATCACCCCACTGTCTCTGTCTCCCCCTCACTCTCTCTCTATTTTGTACTTATTTGTACATGTACATGTACTTGTGTGTATAGTACTAATGACCTGGGATAATCAAATTAAAATAAACTACTACGTGAGTAAAATATACATGTACATGTACATACAGTACATGTATGATAATAATACTGTCTTCATTGGCTATTGAACATAGGAAATTTACATGCAGCTCTCTCTCTCTCTCTCTCTCTCTCTCTCTCCCTCTCTCTCCTCCCTCCCTCTCTCTCTTTGTTCAGGCTAAGAAGCCTACCAGGACATTAGCCAGTGCTATTGGTGGAAGAAGACAAAACAGTGCTGCAGCCTCTGTTGGATTTATGCTTGATAAATACATGTAAATGAACTAAATACAATGTACATTGCATACTTCATGCAGTTAATGTGTACAAGTTAATATCATGTACATGTACATGTACATGGTGAATGAATCTTCATTGCATTTGAGCTTTGAAGATTAAAAGAATTACATGTACCTCTAAAACTCTTTTAATGTAATGGTGATGTAATGGAAACAATCTGAGGACATTATTTTACATTATAGCCTAATTGTTTTAATAATAGTGTTTATAGTATTTTATTTTATTTTATTTTGTTTAGTGCTGATGGATTAGATGATGTTCCTCCTAATGTCATAAACCAAATAATTCAACATTTGCAAAAGTAAGAAATGCATGTACATGTACATACACTTTATCATTATCTTTTAAAATCCATACTTGTATGTTAGATAAACACATTTACACATGTTCATGCAGGGTTTCCTACAGGATTTTGGCATAGTGCTCAGCTGATACATATTACATGTGTACTTAAATGTGTGTTGTTTAGAAATTTTTAAAATTGGATTTTTTATGAATTTTTAAGTTGCTCAAAAATCGAGTCAAAATTTCTGTACTATATAGTATAGGGATGTTAGCCGAATTTCACCACAATTGAAAAGGGGAGAATTCTCAATTTTTAATATTTTTTCTGATACATATGTACATGTACATGTACATGTATGTTGCGTAGAAAGTTTAAGCTCATTCCGATCAAAGTTCGATTTTTTATGAATTTTAAAATTTGCTCAAAAATCTGGTTCCGATTAATATTTTTTATTTGTAGCCATCTGAAAAAATTTTGCTACATGTACAGTACATGTAATTTCTGTAAAATTTATGTACATGCATATGTATAAGTCCATGCTCAAAAAGTGAGATTGATTCCTGATTTTTTCCTGATTTTTTCTGATACAATGACTCATGACTGTCTGAATTGAACCAGCCTATACATGTACATGTACATGTACACGCATGGGCCCTGTTTTAGCTGAAATTTATCATGTACATGTACATGTACGAACATACATGTACATGCATGTGCAT